CTATGATTCTATGATTCTATGATTGACAGCTGCTGGCCCCATGTCATTGGAGCAGGGAATCCACTGTACTTAGTCTATGTACTTTGAAGAAGTTTTCTAATGTGATTTCTGTCTCAAAAACAGTACCATGGGTAGTGTTTTAAAGTTTGATCCAAAGCCTGGGGTGGATTCACTGCCCACTGTAATGGAAGCCACAAACTTCCAGGTGAGAGAGGTGTTCCTTTAGGAATTAAAGTTCAAAGTGCTTAGGGATATGGGTGGCATCATCGCTCACCTGCACCTCAGATTCTGAGCAGAAAGCATTAGCAATAAGGGCACTTCCTTTACGACTGGTGTCATTGGATCTCTATATGGTATTCCATCCAGTAATCCTGCTGTTGCATTTTGCACTAGCTGCAACTTCTAAGCTATCGTTAATTTAAAAAAATGCGTAGAATACATTACAAAAGCCTGTTGAGGAAGTTACTACTATGCCTAAGCAAGATCATAGGAAGCAAACACATTCACAGTGGTTAGGGGTGCAGGACTACCACAAAAAAAAGGAAAAACTGCAAATGTCACAAGCCCCCTCCCAAACATGCATACTACAGGCTCCTGTCAACAGCACAGTTCTGTCACTCTCTTTCCCACACTGCCCCTGGAATGCCTCAGTCATATTTCAAGTTTATTTAAGCAGCCCTGTTTTATTCTGACATTAGGAAGAAGGGGGAAATTATTCCGTTTCCAAGTATTCTAAGAAATATGTCATGTAAATGTTTTTTGTTTTTTTTTGCTTGGTTCTCTTTTTTTGTTGGTTCTCTTTGCCTGTCAGGACAAAGCCCACTTTCTTCTTGAAATTGATTGTTTGTTTCTTTTCCCCACTCATGAGTACTTTCTGTAATGCTTTCACTGTACAGGTGGGAGTATCACACAGAAAAAGAACTTGACGGCTCCTCTCACTGGGGCAAACTAACAACTTATAGCGGAGGAGGCTATTACATTGATCTCAAAATGTCACGGGTGGAAAGTGCTGAAAGTCTTCAAGTGTTGAAAGAAAACCTATGGCTAGATCGGGGAACTCGTGCGGTTTTTGTTGATTTCTCTGTGTACAATGCCAACATCAATCTTTTCTGCGTTCTCAGGTAGGTTTTTTTTTTTAATTTTTTTTTAATTTTTTATTTTGGATAACAAAACAATACAATATGAACCTTAGCATCAAAAGACAAT